TGAGAATGCATTTTAATAATATATTTATCGTATTAAAATAGTCAAGCATATGAAGATGCTATAAGTATGAAGATTGATGATAAATTTAAATGGAAATGCAACAATTTAATTAAGTCAAGTAAAATAGGTGTGAAACATTGACATTTATGTATCCTGATTGCTTTCCAAATAGATTTATTCTTATAATTGGATAATTATCATGAAAATGAAATATTTTTACTTGATGTTTGAAACAATGTTGCTTTCTAGAAAATATTACAAATCATTTAAAAAATACTTTTGTTATAATTGGATTTTAAAGCAAAGGCTTTTTGAAGATTAGAAAAAATGACTTTTAAATATCAATATTGCAGCTCAGATTTGAAACAAGCAGAGAATAAATAATATATATATATACTTTTTGATTTTTTTTCCAAAATGCATGAATATCAATTATTTGATACATAAATTTCAAATTAAAAATATGTTGTAAGATCATAGGTTTATGAGTTTAAAAACAAAATAATCAATTTAATTATTTTATGAAATTGAATCATTTACAAAACGATGAAATAAAAATTGAATAGTTCCATAGATATCGAAAAATCAGAATTTTTTTCCATATATTTTAAGGCATGTTTATTTACTATTCATATAAATAAATGAAAATTATTTTGATAAAAATGATCTTTTTGTGAACTGCCAAAATTTACCATTTTCGGTGTTATATTTATCATATGATGATTTTTATAATTAAAATCATTCTATTTAAGACTACTTGTTACCAATACCTTAAAAAATGCAGTGAATAATCTCTTATTAATTTACAAAAATTATCTGAAAGATTAATATTAAGAATTATGAAAAAATATGCATGAAATATAGATTTTTGATATGTCCCTTTTGCTTTTCATCTTAATTTTGTATTATTATTTGTATTTAAAATAATACAAATAATCAGCAAAAAAAAGTTCTGAAAAAACAGCATTGCAGGAAAATAATTTTTTTTCAAGATTCAATAAATATAGATACATGATTAGTTCTTATTCAATATGTGAAAAGAAAGATATGATTATATGTAATTTTTCATATTCTTGCAATATATGGAAAAACAGTAAAAGCATGTTGTAACAACGCCAAAAATGCTAATTCACTCATTAAAAAATAAAAGAACTCTAAACCATCGATTTCAAAAATTGAATGTATAAAAAACGGTTTTATTCAAAAATTGATAAAAAAAAAATTATGTATTTTATCTCGTTTATTATTATACTTATAATAATCAACATTAGTCAAATGTAGATAATCAATCTTTATTTCTAAATAATTCGCAAAAAAAGAAACTGGAAAACATATTTACACATATTTTAGCTCTTTTTGTGCCAAGTGGAAATATTTGTTGAAATCTTTCTGTGAGAGATGGGATAAAATTGGAATAAACTCGTCATGAGCGAAATCAATCATGTAGCATTCTTTGAGGTATTGACGGCAGTTATCGCGGGTAAAACGGCAATGATATCTCTGGCAATGCTTGGCGATATGCAAAAAGGCATCAATATAATTAACAAAACGATTATTATCTGTCTCGAGGATGTTTAACGGTACTAGATTACTGTCATCTCTATAATTTCTTCTGTTTTTTGATACTTTGGGGATATCGTATTGATATGTTGGAAGTTTTTCAATCAGCCTTGTAAATCCGTTTTTCGCTTTCCATTTTGTGTGTACTTGTTCATTTATTTCATATTTGTTTTTTTCTTCTGTATTTGGGTTCGAATGATAATTTGTGTTATTATGGTTGTTAGAAAAAATTTCACCTTCGGGTTCAGTATCCGTACTGTGGGTAATGCGAGGACTATCCTTCTCGCTTTGTGGTTGATGTGTATGATCAGTTGGTATGTTCGATAGCATTCAAATAAATTTTGTTCTCAATATTCTGAAGACTATGAATAATATTCAATTATATTTTCATTTAATAACTCAAAATGAAATTTTTTTTTTCAAATTTTTGAATTATCTGAACTCAAAAAGTTTTTATATCTCAGTGGTTTGTATTAAAAAGTTCAATCTATTGTTAAGCTCGAAAGTTTTTTATCTGATGGATATTTCATTTTAAACGTGTTGCTTGTTGCATGCATGGAAATAATAATTTATCTATAGTTTATATTTTCATTTAAATCTTGTTTTCTGTTATGAGATTATTTTTTTTCAAATTTTTTTTTTTTTTAAAAATGATTGAAATATGAATGTTTCTTTATTTCTAAAGAGCATATAAAGCAGATTTTACAAGCCGCAAACTCCAAAAATAACAGCATTCGTAGAAAAGCAATATTGATTATTTAAAAGAATATCATGGTCAAACATTTGAATTAAACTTTTTCAATACTTTTTCAAATGATTAGATAAGAAGTCAGGTATTTTTTTTACGGCAAATTATATTTTTTTGGTTTTATATTATAAAATTAATATTTTTGGAAATTATTTATACTCACAAATTTCAATTAATTATTTCATAAAAATTTTTATTTCATAGTAAATTTTCAATTGATATAATCCGAATCGTAAAATTTTTTCAATTAATGTTTATGATAAGAATAATGTTTTAAAATCACTGAAAAAGATTATTCTAGCTTTCCTATAGCATCATGTGATAAAACATGAAAAAAACACATTTTTAAAAAATAATCTAATTATAAGGTTGTTCATATATATGTGAATATTCTTCTTTAATATATGGTAAGGATGCATTTTATATAAGTAAATAAGCATGGTTTAAATAATTATGAAATTTTTCAATGATGGTGAAAATTTTGGTGTTTGTTCGAATTAAAAAACTAAACTTTTCTTTTTTAAGGCTAATATTCAATGTGTTTTAGATATATTTCTTTTACTATTTAATGGTTTTTATTTTTTAACATCATTATTATAATGAAGGGTTTTATAAAAAAAATCAACTGTATGAATATCATGTTTTTGCTAATAATGTGATTTAAAAATTTTTTGCCTTTATTATGTCTGAAATGTAAGTGTTCATTATTTTTTCTTTCGTTTTTGCCTATTTTTTCAAAAAAAAAAAAAAAAAAAAAAAAAATTGAAAATTGTTTTTATTTGATAATGAGAAAAACAAAATTTTCATATGCATTATATGATGAATAATAGCATGATTTAAGTGTGTAATAAGCACTTTTGAATTTAAACAACATTTTTTTTTTTTTAGATCCTTTTCTAAAAAAAATTTTTTGAGACCATCAGTAATATCAAATGAGTTCCTTGAATTTAGGCTTTTGTAAGCATTTTTGGTGCTTATAAGCAGTTATACTCAAGATATACACTTAAATTTAAAAATATTTTTGAAATATTATTACTCAATATTAAAACTTCCAATTTAATGTTAGCTTGATATAAATATAGTATTTTTAATAAAGGTGGTTTTATGTTTTTTCTGGTAAATGATTGATTTCCAATGAAAATAATTTCAAAATCATTGATATCCTAGATGTCACTTTTTCATTACAATTGTATTGAATTCTTTTTTAGAAAAAAAAATTGTATGAGTTTTCACAAATTTTTGTGTTAAGAAAAAAAAGAATAGTGTTTGTTTTTCGAATCACCTTAGCTTGTTAACGAAAAAAAGCATTTGAAGCACTCTCATAAATATTTAAAATACTGAATGATATTTGTGTGCCGTAAACAAGAAAAAAGATTTGAAAGTGCATATGGAGCTGATTAAGTGGAATGTAGAAGGTTACTTTGTGATATATACACATAAATGCAGATATTAAGAATCCTTTTAAAATTAATGTCGTTCTTCTATTTACACTTGAATCAAAAACGATAAGACATCTCTGGTCAAAATTCAATTAAATTTCACCATTGGGTGTCTTATCGTTTTTGTTTTTAGTTTATTCAAAGAAACTGCAAAAAAAAGAATGATTTTTGTTTTTTTAACACTTAACTCTATGGTTCGAGATTAATGCATAAATTTCAGAGGTCGGTAAACTTTTTGAATTCAAAATATGATTAATCTTGAGCCATACATAACTCAAATGTCATAAAGTTTGAAAAATGATATAAATCTATATTTAAGGATTGTTCATAAATAAAATTGCTTTCCTTCATACAAATATCATTGACTCATCGGTATCTTTTATGTCGTAAATCTAACTTTGCATGGAGAGAGTCAAACACGTCACTTTTTTGAGAGGCTCTTTGGCAATGCTGATTTCATTATCTCAATGTTAAAGAAAAACTTAGTTTTAAAAAATGATCTTTCTCAACATATATTGTCTTTAAGACTGTTCGAATGAAAGAAAATATATCTTTCTCAAAGATATCAACTTCAATATTGGCCAAGTCTATTCATGATAGAATAAAAAATTAACGGAATCTTCTATTTTGTACAAAACTCATGTAATATCATTTTTTTTTCCTTCAGTTTCAGAGTATTTAATAATTGCCAAAATATAAAAATGAAATCTTTGATTGCATAACATAAACATAAATAGTATATAATCTATTGGTTTAACGTAAAACCCAATTTGTTCATTTCTTGAAGATGAATAATAATCTTGATTTGAAAAAAGACCAAATTAAAAATATATCATTTAAAAAAGAGGTTTTTAATGATATGTTTGGTATTTAGACTCAATATTTTAATGTTTATCATTGTTTGTTTTATAATAGGAGGTTTTCGAAAAAAATACTTTTTGCTTAAAAAATAAAGTTTTTCCGAAAAAAGTAGTTTTTTCGGAAAACGTTTTGAATGATTTTTGATCGTCTGGCCAAATAAATTCACAAAAATTTTTCCAAAAAATCAACTTTTTTCTGAAAAATTGTATTTTTTTCGAAAAAACTTTTTTTTTCGAAAAACCCCTAATATATTTTCGAGATATTTATAATTATTTCTTGAAAAATACCCCTAAAAAACTTTGATTAGAAATATATATATATTTATTTTTTAAACTAGTCATTAGAGAATCGAATTGTTTCTCTAATTAAATAAGAAAAAAAAAATCAAAAAACTTCCTTGCTGGGATTCGAACCCAGAACTTCCCCCATTAGGTTTTCCCCCGAGGAAAATTTTACCATTCAGACTACAAGGAATCTAATTATTATATGGAAAATTATGTATTTAATGAAAATTTTAAATATTTGACGATTGAATATAAGTTCAATATAAAGATTTTGAAGAATACAAAAACTAAATAAAAAAAAATAAATTATTATTATGTGCATGATATATTTTTAAAAGCTGACAATAAAATAAAATGTGGAAGTAAAGATATTGAATAAAAAAGATATTTTATTATAATTGAAAAAGTTAAAAAAATCATAAGCTTATTTATAATTTATTTTTTTATAAAAATATGTTATATCCTTGATTAAGCAAATTATTTTTAAATAATTAATTTAAAAATAAGTTATTATAAATATATTATTTTATATAATATGTAAAAATTAATTATATATTAATTTTCTTTCAATGAATTATAAAAATAAGGTCCAGCATTAATTTTTTCAATAAACGATAATTAAATATTCATTCAATTTGTTCAGAATTTTTAAATCAAATAAAAGACTATTTGTTTGTTTTATTTTTAGGTTCAATAATCATTGAAATTTATCTATGAATTGTATTGAATTTCAAAATTTTATCATATTTACTCATTTATTATTTTCAACAAAATCAACATGGACAAGAAAACATGCGAAGTAAAATGTCAATCCAAAATGCTCGAATTTGAAAGTAAACGTCTTCAAAAGGAAGCCAACAAAGAAAGAATGAAAGCTAAAAGAGAATTAAAACGAGGAAATCGTGCAAATGCTGCATTATATGCCAAAAATGCTGTTTTATATGACCAACAAGCAACACAAATGTTACAGAATGTTGGAGCAACAAATGGATTTGCTACAGATATGCGTCAAGCCCAAGTTATGGCATCTATGGCCAAAACAATGTCAAAAGCAAAACATTCAATGGAAAAATCTGCTAAAAAAGTCAATCTTCAGAAACTTTCACACAATCGTACAAAGATAGAAGGTCTTAAATCAAAGATGGGGGCTGCCCATGACCTTTTGACAAATGGTGAAGGTGATATGGATTTAAATGCAGGAGCCGAAGATCTTTTAGCAACACTTGATGCAGAAACACAACAAGAAGCCCTTTCACAAATATCAGATATTCCAACAGGTATACCAATGGCTACTACTACGCCTAACCAGGGTGCTAATATTAAGAATGGAAATCTCTAATAGTAATATATAATATATTTTATTATTTATTATTTAAACATGTATCTTTCATAATCTTACAATTATTATTATTCGTTGATATAAAAATAAAGTTTACAAATAAAAAAGATTTAAATCTTTTTACTATACTATAATAAAATTATGACTTAATTTAAGTTGAAATTTACGACAATTTCAAGAATAAGCATTAATCTCATTGGCATCCAATCACTTTTCATAAAGTTTTTTTTACATTTTATGAATTTAGTATATAATATTTATGTCAATATACAACGAAAAATGAGATAAATGTGTTTAGCAAATGAGTTAGAAAAAATGATCATCAGTTCTTATCTTATGTTCTTAAATTGAGCTTAAATTTAGCATTATATATACTAAATAATTGGATTTGGTAAGAATAAATCTATTGTTTTTTCCATTAATAATATTACAAATATTTTGAAATCAACTATTAAACTTCCAAACAAATTAATATCTATATTATATTATTGTGATAAAGTGAAAAATATTAAATTGGAAATATTACATCGGTAATTTATTTATTTGGAGATTAATATTTTTTATAAATACATATTTTTTTGATTTGATTGTTTTTCTACCATTATTTTTATTAATATAAACTAAATCTCTAATTAATTTCTGAAATGTTTATTATTCAAAAAGATATTTTTATAAAATATCCTTCTCTTATTTACGTTAATTAAATAGAAACTCTTTCAATTAATTCTGTATATTATATTTCTTTTGAAAAAAAAAAAATGATCGTAAATTGACTTTTTAATAAAAAAAAATATGAAAATAAAAATATTCTGTTTTCAAGATATGAATTTAAATTTATAAGATAGAATGTGAAAATTTTTTAGTTCAGATTTAATAAGGCAATGCTTATCGCCCTCAATATTAATATACTTCTAGAGTTAAGTTCAACATTGAACTTTTAAAATACATTCGACAAAAAATTCAGAAACTTTTATCACTTTAGCCAAAAATAGCATGTGTAAACTAATCCACACTTTTCAAAATGCTTTTTATTGATAGCAAATTTTGCTTTTTTCCAAACTCAAAAAAAAATACTAGAAATCGAATAAAGAAGATATTCAAATAATGTAAAACAAAATGTATTTTTCTTAATTTTGTACAGATACCAGTATTTATTTGCTTTTTATGAAGAAGAAAAAAAAAACAATTTCTAATAAAATATTATAATAAAACAAAAATTAATTAAAAGGCGATTTTTATTAGCCTAAAAAAAATAAAAAAAGAGAATATTTTTATGGATCTTGATTCATTTCAACTTCGGCTTCACTTTGATCTTTATTTCTTTTATTTCTAATAATAAGCCAAACGATTAGAACTGCAATTGCGGCAACAACGACGATGCATGCAATTACAATACCAGCGATGGCGCCACCACTAAGTTTATTGCTGTGGAGAGGATAATTGCAGAATGTTTTATTTGCATAATTGCTTGAAGTGTGAATTCCTTTAGTCTTTGAAATTCCAATGTCATAATCGCAATCTGGCTCAAATCTTCCCATGTAATAAATATTCTTGAATTTAGTATCTTCGAATGCTTCGTTTTCGATCTTCAAGAAGTAATTGAATCTGTAGAATGCAGCGATGTTATCATTATTATTAGAATTAGTTTCTTCATTAGTATTTGTTATAAATGATAATCTGCCATTCTTGAAGCCTGTGCATCCTTTGAAAGCACGATATCCAATCTTTAATGTATTATCAGGTAATGGAGCTGCATTGCTATCAAACACGAAACTGAGTTGATCTGAAAATCCAGTGCAATCAACAAATGCATGTTCTTGAATTTCCTTTGTTTGATCATCGAAATTCAAAGGTCCGGTTAAGCCTGAGCATCTAGCGAAGCCATATTTCTCAATTATATCAAACTTGCATCCATCGAGAGTTCCTTCTAAGCCAGAACATCCGTCAAATGCATGCTCTTTAACAGTATATGTTTCCTCAGGTTTTAATATCAGACTGTTTAAGCCTTGGCAATTGTAGAATGCATATTTATTAATTGTGGGGTCAGAAAGATCTTCTAGATTTAAGGTGCCAGTAAGATGTGGGCAATCATAGAAAGCATACGGTCCAACAGATGTTAGTTTCATTAATGAAATGTCGCCATTTAATAAAGAGCATCCATAAAAGGTTCCTTGATTAATTGTTTCAATTTTGTTTGGAAGATTAAGTTGTCCATCAAATCCTGAGCAGCCATGAAATACGTCGTTACTTAATACAGGTACCAAATCTTCATTAGAATCTTTTTTTTGTGGCAATGTTAAATCGCCTTTAAATGAAGAACATCCATAAAAAGCGCCTTCGTCAATTGTTAATCCATTACCATTTTCATCATAATAGAAATCTGGGAAATTAAGATTTCCATTGAATCCGCAATCTCTGAATGCAAATTTGCCAATTGTTTCAATTGATCGTCCAAAAGTTAAATCGCCTTGGAGTTTGCCACATCCAAAGAAAGCCTTATCATTAACAGTAGTTAATGTATCAGGAAGTGTTAATGAAATATCCAAACTAGTACAATCTTGAAACGCTGATTTTCCGATTGTTTTTAATCTTTTAGGTATGTCTAATGGTTTCTTTAGATTTGTGCATCCATAAAATGCATAATCATCAATATATTCAACAGAATCTTGAAGTTCTAATTTTTCGAGAGAGGTGCATTTATAAAATGTGTATGGATTAATTCTCTCGACTCCAAATGGAATGCTTACAGAAGAAAGTGCAGAACATTTATAAAATGCAGCTTCCTTAATATTTGTGAGTTGAGAATTTTCCTCAAAGTTAACATTTTTAATATTTGGACATTCAGCAAAGGCTCTCTCTCTGATGTCGGTTACTGTCTCTGGAATTTTGATTGTTTGTGGTAAAGTTCTAATTCCATAAAAGGCTTCTTTTGGAATTATTTTAATTTTGCCGAGCTCTAATTTGTTTATTGGGCACCCTTGAAATGTCTTGCAAACAATAGGCTCGTTGTTTTTGTCTTTTTGGTCAAGATTAATGAATCCATCTTTGAACGTCAATGTAGTTAAAGATTTACAATTATAAAATGCTTTATCTTGTATTTCAGTATTAATGCCTTTAATTTCGCCTGATTCTGTTGTGGTAAAAGCGGATCCTTCTATTATTAATCCAGTGATTCCAGTATTTGAAAATGCTGATTCACCAACAGTGACAACTGAACTTGGAATCGTTAAAGTGCCTTTAATTCCAGAGTGCAAAAATGCTTCCTCCTGAATTTCTTGTTGAATCAAAGAATGGCTTTCAAATTCTACTGTTTCAAGGCTTCTGCAATATGAAAAAGAATTTGGACCTAAATTTTTTACTGAAAATGGTATCGTTAATTTTCCGTTAAGACCTGAATTATAGAAAGCTTTTTCGCCAATGGTTCTGAGTGATGGCTTATTGGTAAGCTCTGTATAAGAAATGTCAATAGTTAATTTGCCCAATTTTCTGCAGTCCTCAAATGCGTTGGGTCCAATCAATGTTTCATAAACATCATCTTTTTTGTCAATAATTTCGATATCAGCGCCTAATTCATAGCATTGATGAAATGCTTCACTTGAAATTTGATTAGCAGTTATTTTGGTTAATTTAAGATTTTTGTCACCTTTGAAAGTTTTTAATTGAATGTTATTAATGTTCAAGTTGCCATCACTTGTACCGGTTAATAAGACGCAATTTTCAAAGGCAGAGGTTCCGATACTTTTCATTATTTTAGGCAAATTTAATGTTCTTATTCCAGAGTTTTTAAATGCATCGTTATCAATTGTCGAGTAGTGCTTTACATCATCAACATCATCCTTTGGCTCATCTGG